TCTCTCTCTCTCTCTCTCTCTCTCTCTCTCTCTCTCTCTCTCTCTCTCACCCCTGCCTGAGGCACCTACCTCTCAGAACCACCTAAACATGCAGTCACTCACATTGTTTCCTGTCACATTACCTGTTCAGTGTCATCACCTGACATACATAGAAAATCTTAGACCTAGAGACCTCTACCAACCTTGAGCAAATGAGGCAACTGCTGAGTGACCAGTTCCTTAAATTCATTGATGCTCAGGCTGCCTTTCCGTCCTTCCCGCCCTGCAAAGGTGAAGAACGTAGTGACCACGGTCTCAATGGCCGCCTCCAGTTCAGTCAGGGGCTCTGCTGCCATTAGTATGCCAAGGCAGCAGCTGATGTCCACACAGATTGGCCTGACAGGGAAGAAACAGACCAGGAGAGTCAGGGATCCAAGAATGGGTGCTGTGGCTGCCTGAAAGGGTCAGTGTGGGAACAGACAACAGTATTCCAGTTCAAGTTCACATCAGAAATCATTTTTATCTGAGTGTCCTTTTGGAGTGTCTGTCTTAGGGGTGCCTTTGTGGTGGTCTTTCCACGTGGCAACCACTCTATCTGTGAGAGTCTTCCTTTGGAGTCCTCTGAACGTGCTAACATCCCGTGTAGGGGCTCTGTTCTAACAGCCCTTTCTCTCTGTCACTCCCTGTCTGAGGGTCAGGAGGTTGTTTGTCTCCAATGTTGATTTATATTGAGACTGGAGTCTCCACCCTCCCCACATATTAGCTACTGTTCCTAGCAGAGAAGCCTAGGGTTGGCAGAGGCCCAATTGAGGTCAGGGCTGGCTCAATCGGGCCAGACCCATCTTCTCTGTCCCATTCCCTCCCTACCTCTGGCTAAGGGTCGGAGTGTGCTCAGCACAAGAACCTTCCCCGCTACTGTTCATGGTTGACAGGGTCTAGAAAGGGACTCTTCAAACTCCTCAAATCCACAAAGTGTTTGGTCTGGACACCAGGGCCCTCGGGGGTCCACGAAGGGAAGAAACATGCCTACTCATCCCCTTCGTTTCTGTCCGTCCACCCACCCACATACTCCTGCAAGGACCGTTGCCTGCTCTCCTAAAGTCACTTCCTGAATCTCTGCCTGAACCCGCTTGGAAGGGGGTACCCGGGATCTGATAAAGAAAAGAAGGTCTCCGGGCTCTCTGCAGAGTCAAGAAGAGTAACTCACCCGGGAAAGAAGATAGGATGCAGCGAACCGATCTGGAGCCCTGAGGCTGAAGTTTATAAGCACTAGGGAAGGAGAGAGCCACTCCCAAGTCCGAAGTGTCAAGTTTCCGCCTCCGCTGATTCGGGAAAGGGGACCGCCCCTGCTGTCACTTGCCATCCCCACACAGCGCCACGCGACTGGGACACAGCTTGATCAGGAGGAACCATAGGGTCCCATCCCTCCCATTTATGAGGGTTACTCGGGAGTCTGTGTTAGAGGGGCTGCTACTGCTGCTTGAAAAACAATTTAAAAAAAAAAAAACAAAATATATTTGGGGAATTCAGCATTGAGAAATTAATTAGAGATCCAAAGGCACTCGCAGAGCCCCAGACTAAGGGGTCCATAGCGGAACCCCTACTGAAATTCTTTACTGAGTTCCGAGACAGAAGCCTCTCAGGCTAAGCACTCCTGGGCAGAATCCTTCCCTTTCCCTGCTCAGCCCGCACCGCAGCACCCCGCACCTCAGCACCCCACACCGCAGCACCCTTCCCACGACCTCCTTCCCTTCCACTCCTTCCCTCTAGGCTCGGGGAGGTGGTGCAAGCAAGAACGGGCAACCCGTTCCCTCCTGGGAGACAGAGGGCGCCTCTGTCCACTCCTGGCCCTTAGCCCTTCTGGTGTCGTTTGTGAAGGGGTGGAGCCGTTGGGGAGGAGGGTCGGCAGGGAAAGACGACTAAAGACAGGTCTCCCTACACCGGTCCAGGGGCCACATTTGCAGCGTGCCCTTCTGTCGAGAACCTGCTCCGACGTCAGGCCGAGGCCAACCGTGAGTACCCTAGCCTGCTTAGGATAGGTCGGTCTCTCTGGCTTAGCCAGCCTGGAGGAAAGTGAACTTCAAAAGGAGCCACAAGAGCCCTAGAAAAGGATACAGTGGTGTCGCGGGGGTCTGGAAGGAATCAGTCAAGGGAAAGAGCAGTTCAGGAACTAGAGAAGATGAAGTTTGGAAAGTAGTGAGAGTCGGTGAGTGAAGGTCAGAGAGCCTGTGGTGAGTGAATGAGGACACCACCCAGCTTCCAGGCTACCAGACATTCCTACACAGAATCCTGTGCCTCCTGCCTGGGACACCAGTCTCTAGGTGTGGGCAAGGAGGGGGTACAGCCCTGCTCGTTTAGGGTAAGAATGAAAAAGGCTGTTCCTGCCTCCTCTCCACCCTCCTTTCTGCCTTCTCAAGAATGAGGGAAGGCTCCGAGTAGTGTAGCATAAGCCATGAGATACCATAAAGAAGGGGGTCTGTGGAAGTGTGCTCTGTCCCATCTCTGCCTTCACAAGACCTCCTCTTCATCCCTTCTTTTTCAGCCTTGACCCCCACTTCTCTCTCTCCTAATTTTTCCCTCTTTGTTTCCCACTGCTCCAACCCTAGGTCCTCCCCTACATAAAACTTCAAGCTTCTAGAGGGTTCCAGGCAACCTCCAGAGGCCCCTCATAGATGAGATGGTAACTGAGCCACCCAAATTCCTCCCTTGAGCACCCCCTTATCCCTTTGATCAGCCCGGCTTGAATTCTCTCTCCCACTGTCTCTGTAACAACTGCTTCTTGTGACTGGAGTTCAGGTGACAGTCACAAGGGCTCCATTGAAGAGCTAGGATGTCATCTAATCAGGACCCATTGTCCAGTATACTCAGTGGTGAGGAAGGATGAGGACACCTGAGCTGAGACACCTGAGCTGCCCCTGAGGCTGTGGAAGGCATGACCCTCCCAGGGCCAAAGGATTGAGGCCCTCTAGTTTAGTAGTCTCTTCTCAATAGACCTATCCATTCTTCTCTCTCACCCAACCCTTGAGCTCAAATGACCTCATACATTCAACTCTTTATCTAACACAAACCAGCCCTATCCTGCTCTCACTGGAGCTACTGAACCAGAGCTGGCCAGAGGCAGGAATGGACAGCATCTGGGAGAACACCTACAGGTTAGAAGCTCTGTCTCCAAGGAAAAGCCTCAGACATTTCCTCCTCCCTTCTTTCTACCAACCTGATGGAAAGGGATGACTTTGCAGAGAAAAGGACTATGGGAAGAATAACCCCCAAAGAAGCCAGAATGACATGCTGAGGAGAGACGGGGAGCCAGGCATCATGGCTCGGACCAGTAATCTCAGCATAAGGAGACACAACTGCCCACAAGTTGAGGATATCTGCTTGAGCTAGTTCCAGGAGAGCAGAGGCTACATAACATGACCCTGTTATAAATAAATAAACCCCAAGCACAAAAAGATGGAGACATAGCCAAAATGACCTGGGCTTAATCCTCGGTGTCTTAAGAGGAAGAGCCATGCTTGCTGACAGGACGCTTGAGAACAGTGAGACACCTCTCCCCAACAACTCGTGGGTCTCAGCCCCTGACTGCCAACCCTCCATCAGCTCACCAAAGGTATCAGACTTCTTCCTGGGGTAGTCAGAGGAGATCTTAGCCCACTTAATAGCAACAACAAAGCTTAACTGTAACAGGTCTGGAGGTAAAAATAAAGCTGGAAGCCCGCCTGGTCCAGTGTCCACCCATGCCTCCCCTCCCGTTCCCCAGCCATGAGCCAGCCACTGCGCATGTCTTTTGCAGGCTTCTGAAGACAGTCCAGTTCCTATTGCTTCATCTCCATGCCCATCCCTGACTCCCTCTGACTGGGAAATGATGGAGGGACCCAAAACACTGGACTGGATTTAGGTGTGCTAGGGTTTCTTCTCCATTGCAAAATTTGAATGAAAGATAAAGTACATTGGGGCTCATCTTATCGCTGTTTGAGCTATTTGAAACCAGAGCCAGGTCTGAAGATTTCCCTTACCCAGACCCCAGATATCCTGAAACTGGTTTACAATTCACTTCCATCTTTGTGGGAATGGGTAGGTGTGCTGCGGAAATGGGCTCTGAGCTGGAGACTGCCATGGAGACCCTCATCAACGTGTTCCATGCCCATTCGGGCAAGGAAGGGGACAAATATAAGCTGAGCAAGAAGGAGCTGAAAGACCTGCTACAAACCGAACTCTCTGGCTTCCTAGATGTAAGCAAAGGATTGAGGTACAGGGTGGAGGAAGGGCATGGGTGCCCCTGCCCCAACCCTAGCTCAACCCAACCATCCTTCTCTTCTAGTCTTAATCAGGTTTTCCAGGAACCCTTAACTCCTCCCTGGAAAAGTCAAAATACCCTAGTTTACTGTCAATACTAGGCTCTGCATATTCATCAGTAACACTACCTACAGCGTAGAATGGAGTCATGAAGGGCCGAGCATAGTAGCATATACCTTCAATCCTAGCACTCAGAAGTAGAGGCCAGAGGATCAGTAGTTCAAAGCCCAGTCTTTGTGAGCCCTTGTCAAAAGAAAGAAAGAAAGAAAAAGAGAGAGAGAGAGAGAGAGAGAGAGAGAGAGAGAGAGAGAGAGAAAGGGAGGGGAGGAGGGAAGGAGGGAGAGAGGGAAGCTAGCCCAGTGTGATGCTGCATGCCTAATCCCGGGACTCAAGAGGCAGAGGCAATCCGATCTCTAGAATTTTGGGCCAGCCTGGTCTATATAGTGAGACCTTGTCTCAAAAAAAAAAAAGTTGTAAATTAAAAATAAATAAGCCACAAAGCTAAGCATGGCAGTTCCCACTTATAATCCAACACTTGGGAGACTGAGGCAGAGGATGATCATGCGTTTGAGGCCATCCTGGACTAAGTAGTGAGTTTCAGGACTACAAAGTGAGACTGACTTAAAAATGGACTTGTGAGGTGGTTCAGCAGGTAAAAGTGCTTGACACCAAGCATAAGAACCTGAGTTAGGACCCACAGAGTCAACAGACAGAACTGACTCCCACAGGTTCTCCTCCACAGAAGAATCTTGGCATGTGTATGTCCACTCATACATATACAGATAAATAAGTATAAACAAATTTTTTGAGTCATGTTCTGGCTGTCCTGGAACTCACTGTGTAGACCAGGTTAGCCTTGAACTCACAGAGATTCCCCTACTTCTTCCTCCCAAGTGCTAGGATTAAAGGCATCTACTACTCACAGCAAACCTTTTTTTGTTTTTTTGAGACAATGTTTTATTAGTCTGGCCTAGATCTAACTATGCAGACCAGGCTAGCCTCAAACTCACAAAGATCAACTTGCCTCTGCCTCCAAAATGACATATTAAAGGCGTGCACCACCACACCCATGAGAATTTTTTTTAAAGTAGGACTGGAAGCTGGTGGTGGCAGGCAGTGGTGGTTCAGTGCACACCTTTAATCCCAGGCCTCTGGAGGCAGAGGCCCACAGATCTCTTGAGTTCAAGAATAGTCTGGTCTACAAAGTGAGTTCCAGGACAGCCAGACTACACAGAGAAAAAAAAAACACACACACACACACACACACACACCTGTCTCAAAAAAAAAGTAAAACTATGAACTCAAATACAGAATCTTAGCAGAGAGAGGTAGCCAAAGAGCTGTGGAGATGAGCGCTCTGAAGTCACATGGCCTCTCTACGGAGGTGGCACTTCTGCCATGGGTCTCCACTGGAAGACTGGATGTAAATTAAGATCTGTAGGAGGTATCCTCATGAAAAGAAGCAAGGGAAGAAGGATAGAAAGTATGCCCAGTAGCTTCTTTTGACTAAAAGATGCAGAGAAGGAGACAGATGCTGTCAGAGATAATGTACAAACCTACAGAAGCTTAACTTAAGCTGTGGCCCTGCTAAGGTTTGCTGCTGCAGAACTTTTGTATATACCCCAACTGTCAATGTGTTTCTTCCTTATAAAGTAGTGGGAATGGCTCCCACATTATTTGCATTAGTGTTAAAAAAATTTTTTTAAAAAAAAGACAAACTTTTTTTTAAAAAAAAGACAAACTTGGGCTGGAGAGATGGCTCAGAGGTTAAGAGCACTGACTGCTCTTCTAGAGGTCCTGAGTTCAATTCCCAGCAACCACATGGTGGCTCACAACCATCTATAATGGGATCTGATGCCCTCTTCTGGTGTGTCTGAAGACAGTGATCATATACACTAAATAAATAAATACATTAAGAAAAAAAAAAGACAAACTTGGTGGCACACACATGAAATGCTGGCATTCACAAGGCAGACCCAGAAAGAGCTCAGGTTCCAGACCAGCCTGGGTCATATAGCAAAAAAATGGTGTTTTTTGAGACAGGGTCAGCTGGCATGGAACTTGCTATGTAGACCAGGCTGGCCTTGAACTCACATAAACCTACCTGCTTCTCTCCCCACTGAGTGCTAGGATTAAACGCATCACTATACCCTAAAATGATTCTGTGTGTGAGTTGTTAATTAGATGAAACAAAGTCTCTAAGGCTCCCAGCTTAGCACTTGTCACATTGTAGATAATCATGTATGACAAATGGATGACACTATTAACTCTGCTTAGTTCTGTAGGTCACCAATTCTTAGCTCGCCAGTCTTTGGGGATGTAGTAGATTCCCATAATTAACTATTATTCTCTCACTTGCTCACCTCCACCTCCTCCTCCTCACCAGGGTGGCTCTAACTGAATGGTATACACTTCCATCTCCTTCTACAGGTCCAGAAGGATGCAGATGCTGTGGACAAGGTGATGAAGGAACTGGATGAAAACGGAGATGGGGAAGTAGATTTCCAGGAGTATGTTGTGCTGGTGGCCGCTCTCACAGTGGCTTGTAACAACTTCTTCTGGGAGAACAGTTGAGCACACAGTCGGTGGGCTGCGCCCTTCCTTTCCAACTTGTCAAGACTTTAGCCTGCTTGCTCCCCAGCCCACCTGTACCTCCCTATGTCCCCATCCTGCCCAGTATCAACATGCACCAAGGGCGCAAGAGTAGCAGTCTAGATCTGCCACTTGTTTTAATAAAGCCTTCTCTCTCACCAACTGTCAACGTCTGTGTCCTCTGGGTCTAGCTATGTGTGAAGTAAGGAGTGCTCACCCCCAATACCTTATCTTGGCAAGTTTACATTAGATCTTATTTAAGGAACACTCAAAACCCAAAAATGTAGGGATCCAAAAATTTTAGCTGGAATCCAAGTGTCATTGGTTTTTCAAGGACTTATATGAGTAATTGGTAATACTAGCTCTTGAAGGATAAGGAAGATTTTGAGTTCCAAGCCAGCCCATAATATATAGACAGATCTTGTTTCCAAAAACAGAAACAAACAAGCCATCAAAAAATCTGAAGGAAGGGGCTGGAGAGATGGTTCAGTGATTAAGAGCACTGACTGCTCTTCCAGAGGGCCTGAGTTCAATTCCCAGCAACCACATGATGGCTCACAACCATCTGTAATGGTATCCAATGCACTCTTCTAGTATGTGTCTGAAAGACAGCTGTAGTGTACTCATATAAATAAAATAAATAAATAAACCTTTTTTTAAAATCTTAAGAAAGCAAGAAATGGTGGCACATACTATGGTTATTTAATCTCTACCTGGGAGGCAAAGGCAGGAGGATATCTGTGAATTCAAGGCCAGCTTGGTCTGTATAGAGAATTCCAGGACAGCCAGAACTACATTATATACACCCTATCTCAAAAACAAAGAAAAAAGAAAAAAGAAGAGAGAGGCTGGGTGGTGGTGGCGCACGACTTTAATCCCAGCACTTGGGAGGCAGAGGCAGGAGATTTCTGAGTTCGAGGCCAGCCTGGTCTACAGAGTGAGTTCCAGGACAGCCAGGACTACACAGAGAAACCCTGTCTCAAAAAACCAAAGAGAGAGAGAGAGAGAGAGAGAGAGAGAGAGAGCGCGCGCTGAAGAATTTTTTTCCCCAAGTTTCATTTAGTGTTTATTGGTGTCTCATCATTGCTAGACATTATGTAAGAACTAGGGATACATTAGTGGGGATACAGATTTGCTTTATTGGATTATTTCAGGTGAAAAGACCAACCCTAAAACTAGCCACATCTTCTAGTGGCAGTCCCTATAAAAGGATGGGGGTGGGCAGTGGGAGGGGGGCAGGAGGTGGATTTTTGTGAATTTAAAGCCAGTCTGGTCTACACAGAGAAACCCTGCCTCAAAAAGAAAGAAAGAAAGAAACAAACAAACAAACAAAATCCCACTACAAATAGGGATGAGAAGAGGGCCAGAGCAAATCAGCCAGGTTCTAAGGTCCTAATAAAGACTTTTTACAGTTGTCTTTAGCTTGGAGATGGGGAATAAAAGATTACCAAACACTGCTTCCAATCTAAGTTGCTCTTTGCAAACCAAAAACCCCACCAAAGCGGAGCACAAACTTGTCCACGCCCCCAAGGACGGAGCACTACAGTAATTTAAGGGATCTTTGCCAAAGTCCTTGGGGATTCGCCTGCGATTCCTGCGCAAGCCAAAGGGACCATTTTGCCACGCCTCTAGTTGCGCGCGCAATGACGCAAGTCTGCCGGCGCCATTTTAGCCGGTCACGCTGCACTGGTGGGCCTGGCAGCCATTTTGTTTTGGACACCAAGCAGGAGTTGGCGGCGCCGGCTGTGGTGGCACAGACTAAAGGCAGGAAAGGGCAGGCTTGACGAACTGGAGGATCGATCGGCTAGATACTCAACCCACAACGAAGGAGCCTCGCATCCTACCGTTTAAGCATCTAACCCAACCGCCCAGCTAGTTAACCCGAGCGATCCGCCGTCAGCTCAGGTTTGGCCGGCCTCCGGCCCGCCCGCCGCAACCGTGGTGGCAACCCCGGGAGGAGCGCTGGCGTCCATCTCCTTCGGTGAGTTCCTGTGGAGAAAGCAGAGGTGGGAGCGCCGACGGTGCGCGGGTGGCAGGTGTGGATGGGGCCGAGGTGCGCACAGGCCGGGGGAGGGGGCGGAGCCGGGAGGCGGAGGCTAAGCCGGAACCGCGGCCAGCTAGCGGGGCCGGTACGATTGTTGGTCCTGGGTTTGGTTGGCTTGTGTGGTGGTGGTGGTGGTGGTGGTTTGATTTTGACCTCAAATCCAATATCTTGCTTATCTAGATAAGTGCCCTCCGTCGGAGCTAAAGCCTCGCCCCAGAATAGCGTTTGATGGGGATAACAACGGAAATAAGGCGCCTGACCAAAGTGGGGGTCTTGAGAGGCTCTTAGGTGGAGATTAAATAAGGAGTACGAGAATTAGCAGCGGCTCTGGGTGTTCGTTTTTGCGGCACCGAAATTGAACCCAAAATCATGCTTTGGCTAGACTAGCGCCCCGAGTTAACAGCCCCAGCTTTAAAAAAATAATAATTTTAGTTTGAAACAGGGTCTTTCGAGTCACCCAGGCTCGCCTTGAGCTTGTGACCCTCTTGCCTCAGCCCTTCCCCAGTATCCCCAGTTAAATTTTGTGGAGTGTTCTTAACAGAGCTCTCAGATTGGATACCCATTTAGAAAACCTTTTCTGTCTTTCCCCTGCCGTGTCTTACTAGAACTCCACTTGCATTTGGAGTTGAGAATCGGTTTTGAAACTGGACATTTATTTTATTTTTGAGTATATGAGAGTGGGGCCCCAGTGTGACAGTGTAACCCTCTTGGCCTCAGCCTGTTACACCACTCCCCTGTTGCTGCTGGGAATTGAATTTAGGGCTTCATCAGTACTAAGCAAGCACTCTACTGCTGAGCTGTATTCCCAGCTCCTTCATGTCTCTAGATCCATGGCCCTCAACTTTCTATAGACTCATGAGATGTACTTGGGTAGCACCCCCACCCGCAGTTACTGTACCCCATCCTCATGGCCATATTGTAATTTAATTGGTCTGGATCTAGGCATTAAGAATTTAGTTTAGTTTGGGGTGGAGAGAGGGTCTTTCCTTTTTTTTTTTTTTTTTTTTTTTTTAAACATTCCTTAGCTAAGTCATATACAGTCCAAGCTAAGAAGAGCTATTCCAGATTGAAAGCCAAACTGCTAGGCTTTGACTACATCTGATTTCTGCCATTTTGGAACCTTTGGCAGATGTTCTCCATTCTGGGGCTTTATAATTTTGATAAAATTGAAATAACTGTCATATAAACTTAAGCCCCCACCCCACAGCGTTTCTCTTATGTAGCCTTGGCTATCCTGGAACTTGCTCTGTAGACCTGGCTAGCCTTGAACTCAAAGAGAGCCATCTACCTCTTCCTCAGGAGTGCTGGGACTTAAAGTGTGCACTACCACCACCTGGGAAACTTAAGTTCTCATGATACCGTCTTCAGCAGTTAGTAATATAGGCCTTTCATAGGTTTATGTCTTTCTTCTTGTGAAAATGCAAACTTCATTATTTTGATTGACTCATGCATATTGTCCTTTGTAGATTCTCGGGATTTGAAGATGGCTGCACAGTCAGCGCCGAAAGTTGTGCTAAAAAGCACCACCAAGATGTCTCTAAATGAGCGGTGAGGCAGCCAACAGCAACTTCAGCTTCTTCCTAAGAAAACATTACTTAAATTGGCCCTGGGGTCCAATACAAAAAAAGCCAGTTGTAAGCTAAATGACAGAAGGCTACAGACCTCTGTTCTTAATTGCATCTAATGTGGTACAAAACAAATTGGGCAGTTGTTTCAAACTCCTTATCAGTAGATTTTTATATTAAGCTATCTGAAATATTTGACTGGTGGGATATATTTTTTAAAAGACTCCTTACACCCTCCCTTCAATTTTTTTTTTTCTAACATTGATACAGGGGTGGTGCAGCATGATGGTATGGTATATCCTGGCTGCAATAGGCTTGCTGCCTAGTCCAAGACCAGCAGTGTTGTGTCTGGCCTGTAAGAGGCAGGTAGCAAGCCGAGACTATGTCCAAAGGCCCCTGAATGTCATTCTTGGGCCTTGTAAGAGGCACTTGCTTTGCTCCATTTCACTTTCTTCCCATTCTGCTTTTTAGTTTGTTTTGTTTCAAAATCTTTCAACAGCTGTGTGTTTACTTCCATTAAACTTAATCATGTCAGGAATAATAGAATGCCCTCTTAGGCTCGTAAGCGACTTAACTAACTTAACTTGTTCAGAAGTCCTGAGTCAGAAAGAGTGGTTATTTGAGACTAAGAAAAGTTAAAGCATTTAAAGGCAGTTTTTGTTTTTGAGAATTTCATTCATTTGGTGTCTTTCACCATTTTATTATGTTGTTGCTAGAACTCCCAAGGCATTTAATGCCTGTGTTTGCTTCTAAAGCACTTGTGCTTCTCTGCTCATCTAAGATGTGATCCATTAATTACCTGTATTCATGTGTTACTACGTAACATGTTAGAATGTAATAAGCTTCCATAACTCATGAGTCTATATTATTTCAGTGGACTGTGAAGGTGCTCTGATCCTCCTGTTTGTCCTTTGAAGAACTTTCATTCTCCAAAGGTGTAGGCATTTCTGTTTGTCTTTGTAACTGCATCTCTGTTTCTTATCATCATATTTGCTTAATGCGTGTGTTTCATACTTTCCACTTCTCTAAGAGCTGTTACCTGAGCCCTTGTTATCGCTTTTAATTGTGCTGCACTTGGCTGCATTTCTGAGTTTCTGGTTCTTGCAAGTTTGTGGAAACAGAGGAGTCTTTGACCCACATCAGCCTTGATCCAAATGTACCACTTTAAAGTTCGTGGGATCTGGAGCTCCTGGTCTAGCAAGCCATGAAAATGCCAATAAGTGTTTTATAATAAAGCTTTTATTTAAACACCCATTCTGTTCGACCTTGAAGCTTTACTAATATGCTGAAGAACAAACAGCCGATGCCAGTGAATATTCGGGCTTCGATGCAGCAGCAGCAGCAGCTAGCCAGTGCCAGAAACAGAAGACTGGCCCAGCAGATGGAGAATAGACCCTCTGTCCAGGCAGCATTAAAACTTAAGCAGGTGAGAGAATGAGTCCTGCCATCTGCCGATCTGCGGCGTCAGGCATTCCACCAAGGCTGTCAGGGTCTAATGGATGAGTACAAGATGGCTCAGGGCAAAAGCTAAAACATATCTGAACAAATGTTCAAAGAATT